CAAAAGTTATGGGAGAGGGGTGAGAATCCCCTGCTGCCCAGGCTCCCTTTTCCCCCACCTTCCCCACCCATGACTTCCTTTCACCGTCCTTTATTGCGAAACACAGCAGATTAATAATTCACGATTGTTCGTATTTTCGTGTTTCTCCCACGTTTCCTCCATCTCCACTCCGCGCTTCTCTACCTGTTCCATCTCCTTTTCTCCAAGGCTTCCAACCCCTTCCCCATTCACTGAGAAGGTTTCCCTATCTGACAGAAACTTTCGTATGTATAAGTTTTTTCCGGAACACGGAATGGGGCTGATTCAGGAAATCATGATCACAGGATGCAAATAATGAGAAACGTTTTTAAAAGGAAGGCCATGGTTTAATTCTTATTTTTTTTAGACTTGTCAGTGGAGAGTTACATTGTCATTGGAGGGTTATATCTGTAAAGCTACGATTTTCACTCTTTCTTTTCTGCAGCACTCTTCATTTATCGCATGAAAGCAAAACATTTAGACATCCTGATAACCTCTATTCATTGCTACAGGAAGTTCAACATCCCTCATCTGCTTAAGGTGTCTGCCTTTGGACACGAATGAGAGCGTTACGATTGATTGTAATTGCGAGCTCTTCGAGACATTCACAATCTGTTATCGCATCTTATTTTGTCCTCAGACGATGATTGTCGACAAGTGGAGATGAATCCAACAGTAACAGGCTTCTTTCTAATTGGCCACGTGTTTAAGACCATGGAGATAAAAGCAGCCAGTGCCTGTGAAGTAAATTGTTACATGGAGAATAACTGTATATCCTACAATATAAAACCTCTTCCGGATGGGAAATATTTGTGTGAACTGAGTGATTCCGATGACGTTGCTCATCCATTGAATATGAGATACAGAGAAGGGGCTATGTACAAATCATTTAAGGTGAATCATTATTACTCGAGCTCAAACAGATTGTATTCATGCCACAAGTAATGGTAGGGTGTAATTAAAGACATTTCAGATGAGAAGCCTGAAAAAATTCAGGCATCAACGAGATTCGAAACCATGTCCAATAGTAACTATATTACCTCTGTACTCCATTTGGTTGCATCCATGGATGAATGGATATGAGCGTGAATGGATTCATAGATATGTAGATGGAAATTACCAGCATTGATGCGTGCATGGATGCATGGGTGATAAAAGCATTGATGTCTACATGCATTGGTGATGAATGCACAGTTGATGGATCCATGGATGATTTCCTAAATAACTCGATTGCTGACATCCTGGATACATAACTGCACAGGTCCATGCGTGATGGATGCATACATGCACAAGTGGATAGAAGCCGGAGTGCATGGATGTATAGTTACATAGATGTTCAATAAATGCATGCTGTTTAGATGCATAAGGGCATTAATACATACGCATTTACGTACATTCATTGAGCCTGTAATAAAACTAAATACGGTTCGCGACTGCATGTTAAACCCGACAGAAATAATGTTTGCTTTATTTTGCAATTTTGCAGAACGTTTGTTTCAAAAATCCTTGCTCAGTGGCTCAGAGTTGTCAAACTGGCTTTCCCCGTGAGGATTATCGTTGTGTATGCAGGAATGGGTTGATGGGACAAAACTGTAATGAAGGTATGTTGATCGACTGATCTGTCTGTCTATTTATTAGTTTGCGTTTTATATGAGTCGCAAGTCTCGACTGAGATTGTTCTGAAGCAAACCAATCATAACTTTAGGAGAGCCTACCGTATATCTTACACTGTTGCTGGACGGTGAAAAAGAACAGTTTACCGATAACACCTGTGAAACTGAACAGAATAAGTCTTATGCATGCGTTGTTACGTTGAGTGTTTTCGCGTGAGAAAAATTAATTTTATGCTTTCAAGTATAGTTACCTTTGTAACAGGTAATAGGACTTGGCGTCGTTCAGTTCTGTGTATTCGTTCCGCTGTCTACTGATTTAGTTTAACACTCGTAGTACAATAAACTGAATTGCTTTATACCTAAACTTCCAATCAACAAAACGAGCACTGTGATTGGTTGATTCTTGGTCACGCGCCCCTGATCAAATTCAAATGTATCTCGACCGGGATTCAGTTGCGCGGTTGTTGCCCGAGCGCCGAATATAACAGCATGTTTTTGCCATATGATTATTTAAGAGAAAGTCTTAATATATATCAAAGCACTTAATGTATGGTCCCTCGGGAAACGAATTAGTTTTGTTTTCCCTCGAGTCCTGATTTTCCCGAAACGAAGTCGAGTGAAACATCAGGACTCGTGCAAAAATAAACCAACTGTTTCCCTCGGACTATACATAAAGTGTAGCTTGTACTCCACTTAGTTTGTGCCGGGTATTACAGTGTCACTCAGGCCTCCAAATTAGATACTTATGCTGAATACTTATTTCTTAGTCCTTCTTCCTGCCATCTATGAGGTCACCAGTAAGATAAGAAATAGGAGTTGAATATAATTAGCTAGTAACATAAGCAAGCCAGTACACTGTGAGTTGTTCTGTGGCAAGCTAAGTTATAAAAATAAAGCACTGGTACATAGGTTATTGTGAGGTAATTACAACCTTCATTTAAATTAAATTAATTAATTTTCAAATGGCCGCCAGTTCAGCAATCTACAATTTAGTTCGACTTCATATGATTTTTTCCAAGATATGTCCGTTTTGATTCTAGGACTACCATCAGTACGAGTTGCTCCTGATAAAATCGAAACTGTGGAGGGTAGAAATGTTTCCATGACGTGTAACGCGACTGGTAATCCGTTGCCACATTCAGTTACGTGGAGCAAGGCTCAAGGACTGCTACCTTCTTCAAGAAGCTTCGAAGATGGAGGAAGTCTGACTATGACAAACATCTCTGCATTAGACAGTGGTTCCTACCTGTGTACTGCCACAAACATTTGGGGTAAAAAATCATCTGCAGTTAACCTCCGGGTGTATTCAACTCTCAAGTTTACCATCAAACCCCCATCGAATATAACTGTAAAGGCTCATGAAACTCTCACGCTGTCGTGTTCTGCTTCAAGCGACCTGTTACCAACGATGGCGTGGATGTGGAATGGGACCTCGTCATTACCTTCAGGCGCGGGTATTGATTCCTCCAATAACTTGATAGTTTCACCTGCTAACTTCACCCATGTAGGTAACTACACGTGCAATGCGTCTAATGCATTGAGCTCTATTCAAACAAGTGTCATCGTTTACGTCAAGTACCCTGAAACCTGCGCTAAAGTGAAGGCCAACATCAGTGACGTCAGTGCTGATTACTTCATTGATCCAGACGGTGTTCTTGGCGATGATCCATTTCCTGTTTACTGCAACATGACTGACAAAGGAGGTGTTGGAGTGACAGTTGTCAGTCATGACAGCGAGAACAGGACACACGTGGATGGTTTTGAACCGCCTGGTTCATATTCCCTTGGTATCGATTACAACCCCGCCAGCATTTCTCAGTTAAAGGTTCTAACAGACCTTTCCACCAATTGCCAACAGCTCATCAAATATGAGTGTCTGGACTCTAGAATTAGATCGTCTAAATTTGCATGGTGGGTGTCACGTGACGGTGAAGAAATGTTCTACTTTGATGGGGCCAATCCAGGGTATGATGGCTGCGCCTGTGGAAAGAACAACTCGTGTGTCAAAGCGTCGAAAGTTTGTAACTGTGATGAGAATTCACAGATATGGCGAGTGGACAGCGGTCTTCTGACAAACAAATCCCACCTTCCCGTCATTCAGTTGAGGTTTGGTGATACGGGAAGCTATTATATCAGCAATGGAGATTTCCGACCTGAAGAAGGATATCACACTTTGGGAAAATTGGAGTGCTATGGAATAAACTGAGCAATGTACTGTCGTTAAGTGGAATTCCTGAGGGATGACAGAATTGCAGTCATTTCGCCCACCAGTCGTTTCGCTAACGACCAGCTTCATTTTGTCTCAAGTCGTTTCGCACTCGTCTCAGGTCAGTTCGCTAAGGTAAGGGTCGTTCTGCTCACGTTGTGGGTTATTTCACCAAAGTCTCGTATTGGTTTGTCTTCTCCGTAGACGCGACGAGCAAATTGTTGTACCGTCAACATGTGGTACAACATTTGGGTTATACTGTGCACTGCCAGTTTGTCGGATAGAAATTCTTTGATTGTACGCTGTGCGTGAAGCCTAAGCTGTCTAGGAGTCTGCTTTTTCCCTTTGCTTAGTTCTCCCGTCATCTTTTAGTTTTTTTATTGAAATGACCGAGCTCCCTAATGATTCAATGAGGGTAAATATTTGAAAATCATATTTGTGAACTGCGGGTAAAGAAATAAACACTACTTAAGTAAGGAATAGGGAAAATAAGGTCTGAAAAAATTCAGGCCTGGACGGTATTTGAACTCATAGCCTCTGCGATACCGGTGCAGTGCTCTACAAACTGAGCTAACAAGCCAACCAGGAGCTGGTCATAATGTTGGTTCGTAATAAGCCCGTGAAGCGACGAGTCAATGACCGTGAATATATGAAAATCATATATGTGAACTGCGATTTAAGAAATGAATGTTAAAGCTTGTTAGCTTTTTAGGCTCAGTTGGTAGAGCACTGCAGCGATGTCGCAGAGGTCATGGGTTCAAATCCCGTACAGGCCTGAACTTTTACGGGCTTTATTTTCACTGCTGCTTAAGTGATGTTTATTACTGCGAAGATCGCTTTTATACTCGTCCCGTATGACTGTACTTTAGCGAAAGGGCCTATCAGTTGGTGAAATACCCTGAGACGTTGACGAACTGTTCGCCAGCGAAACGACTGATTACCGGACGGCGACGTGGGACGACGCCACAAACCAAAGGTTGTAACTCTACCACTCACGATTCGGGGTACACATCCATAAAAATTCATATAACGTCCTTTTTCACTAAATCACGATTGACTGTCGGCAGAATGAATGTGGGAGTAAGGATGATAATTCAACTTATTTTGTGTAAAAATGTGAGGTCAATGTAGACCATTGAAAAAGACAAACATAATATAATTCAGAATTCTAATTCAACTTAGCATTATTTACTGCACTCCATGTTATTCTTTATTATTATTATTATTATTATTATTACATTATTACATTATTATTATTATGTGTGTGTTCAAGTTATCTTGTGCAAAAGGATTTGTAAATACTAGCAATATCAATTGTATCATGATTGCATGTAATTTATTTCCTATGTCACTAAGTAGAATATATCTTATGAAAAATGGTCAAATACTAAGAAAAAATTGCATGGCCAGTATGACGCTGTGTTTCGTCGCGGCCAAGATACGCGTCAGATACATTAAATTAAATTTCAAGCGAACTCGTCAAACATCGCGCTCAAAGTCTCGTTCGCGAAATCAAGATGTTAGCAATATGGCCTTCTATCGCAGAAGGATTCCCAATTGCTCGTTTACGAGTTACGATGTATGTTTTACAAGCTTGAATATGTTATGATTCAGTTTTTCTGGATTATTTAGGAAGTTATATATCTTTGTATTATTTCTTTCATATGTAAAGTGCGCTGAGATTTTGTAGGAGTTTACTACGATAATCATCATCATTATCGTTATTATTAACATTATTGTTATTATTGTCAAATACTAAATACAAATTAGAACTTCACTCGCCTTCAGTGAAGCATATTCTCATTCTGCTTGTCATATTAAGTTACATACGTCTGATTAAACACGCTCAGCACTTAAAGCCGTAATACCAATCTAATGGTTGTTTGTGAATTTGTTTGTTAACTTTTTTCTAGAGGTAAGTATCTCGATTATCTTGATAATCACAAGCTACATTGCAAGTGGATTGCAGAGTACAATTAGAAGCCATCTGGTTTCGCTTCAATACTGGCGGTTTCTTTGTCATTCTGCCCGGCAGTTTACTTTTGTACAGCTCCAGAGCTCTTCCACTCACAGCGAATGCCAGAAAAATGAACAGCCCTAGGAAGAAATGGAGTAAAAGTCGGGGAATTTATGGTTATTCTAATCGCGAAACTTATCGTCATACCGTTTCCTGTGTGTATAGCGTTTACGTGTTAATAACCTGTGAGTGTTTGTACGTGTCGTTAGTTGTATTGTGTACTTGTGCTTGATGTTTGTACCGTTGCGTAATATTACGTAATTATGTCGAGTAATTTGTCAGGCTTTTTGTATAAATTTGATCCTAGGAATCAATGTTTACGTCGACTTTTAAGAAACAGCGTCGCCGTTTCCGTTTTTCGTCGGCAAAGCTATGCACCGTTAATGATATATTGTTTTCGTTCTCTAAACCTTTTCTGTGTGAATCAATTCCCCCAGCAATATGTTTTACCTTCCACAGGTCAAGAATATTATTATTTCAATTATTAGACTGAAAAAATTTAAAACATAGGTCGAAATAGAAGAAGTAAAACAAAACATGCCTTGAAGGCTGTTTAAAATCGCATACGGGTACCATAAGAATGATAAAGCCTTCACGTTCGCAGCAATTCCCAGAATCCATGTCAAGCCCATAACTGACACCATTTTGAAGCAAATTACAGCCACACTGCTGCTTTGTCGTTGATGGGTGATTTGTTGAGTTTCCTGCAAGAGAGTACAAATAAATATTTCACGGAGGAGAAAATTTCCAAGAGCGTCAAAGCGATAGTGATTCGCTCTGACGAAGGGTTAACGCTCCAAACGTCAACTTTGAAACTATTTACGGTGGCAAATTTACGTTATCAACTCAATTGATAATACTAAATTACCCTGCTATACTCTCCCACTGACGCAGCTCCACAGTTTTTTTTAGAAACTTCCTCCTTCTATAAAATGGTTAGATTAAGTATTCCACCTGAAATTTCCTTGTAAAACAACGGGGCAATCCACTCATGTTTTTCCACTAAAGGATCAAAGTAAAAATGTTGAACAAATTTACATATACCTTTCGTGTTTTGAGGATGTGACTCACAGTGTGCCCGAGCGCCAACAGATTAAAGACCAGGAGTAGTGCAACAGGCAGAACAAATGAATAAAGTTTGGCTTGCGGGTGAGATATGAAACATACCTCTGCACCTTGTCCTATGGCAAATACAAAAAAAAAATCCACAAATTCAGAATACTAAAAGCTTCTCATTGAAAAAGGGAAAATAATTATTAAATGAGGATGGAAACGTATACCCCAGGGGACCAGGGGAGGGGGAACGGGGGGGATCGTTTCGCTAACAGAGTATAAAAGAAGGACTCAAGAAAATTGACTGCCAATTAAATGCCAATGAAGGAGAGGTGGGGCGAGATCAGAAGAATATTAAGAGGACTTCTGAGGAGATCATTGATTTCTTTTTCGTGACAAAACAAAAATCCTCCCACCCCACCTTGCCCCAGGCGATAAATTAAAACTGGCCAAAGAGTCAGTGAAAACTCTAATGACGGTTTATTTCTGAACAGCTTCTTCAGAACTCACCATATCCGATTGCTCCTTTCTCTGTATGATCAATTACGACACATGTGACGACAATCGCAGCAGGAGCTCCCCAGGCGTACGCGCTGTAGGCAGCGAGACGTTTCTTGTCGCCATCACGCAGATTCGCTGCAACTCCCGATCCGTCTTTTGAAATAATGATAGAGCGCGTCATGACCAACTTAGGTAATAGAATGAACTTAATGAATCGGTAGGGGGCTGAACGGGAAATTGTTCTGTCAAAGGTCTCTCTCTCTCTCTCTCTCTCTCTCTCTTTCTCTGGCTGCTATTGGTCATAAATCTGCCGTTCAAACACCTCGAAGACTTGGGGCTGGGTTAAGTCAGTTCATAAGATTGCCTCTTTCGGGGCTTTCCAAGTTTCTCTGCCCTCAAGTGATGCAAGGGTTACTCAATGGGATAATAAACCATCGCAAGATACCTACACTGTCAACCCGATCCCAACCTGGAATTTCGTCAGGCTTTCCTGACAGTTGACTAGTAACGATTTATACTCCTGTTTGGAGAAAGGCATTGCGGGAGTTGTGCGTCTTGCCCGAGCACCTCTCTTCTTCAAGTCTACCACGTCTCCGTAATGCAAGCGACAAATATTTACAGGGTTCGTACTTTTTTTCAGAAACAAATTTCAAGGAATTTTGGAGGACTTAGATTGATTGTTCTAGGACTCTGAATTCACTATAAACCTTTCATTCCCAAGATTTCAAAATCCATTCTCCTTATGGTCTACATGCATTTCTTTTAACATAAATTCTGAAAACTTCATTGCTTGAGTTAAGCTGATTTCCAAGGCTTACCAAGACCTGCAGTCTTTTTCCAGGAAATTCCCGTCCCGGAAAATGTCAAAACAAAATTCCAAGTCTTTCCAGCTTTTCCAGGACCCGTACCAACCCGCATATATATATAAGCAGAAACTTTACACTCGTGAAGCTAAATAATGGTCGATTGAGTAGAAAAGGAGAAATTACAACATTACACTACAGAACTGTTTCGAAAGGGCTTACTGGTCCTCTCTCGTCAGGTACATGGAACACTAATCAATTAAGGTTCCCTTTGTAGGCTGGTCGTTCAAAAATGCGCTCTTAAGTACATGCTTGCATACCGGCACGCACTCGCTATACATTTACATATAAATCATGAAACTGGACTTACTAAACGGAGCAAAAATCCGATGCACATCGTAAGCCATTACGTTCATCCAAGTAAAGGAAGAGAGGACGAAGAAATGGAGAAGAACTGCAACTGACAGACATGTGTCATGATCGTCGGTCTCTCCTCCTACAAAGAAAAAACTCTGATACAGCAGCAGAGAGATGGCTAAGTTTATTAATATTTTCCCCGGTAGGTTGCGGAGCTCGGTAAACATGATGTATGTCAAAAGTAGAAGAATCAGAGAAACGATCGACATTATGGATCCAATAAAAGTAAACAGCTGTAAAGATGCTGGCGTAGTTCTGGTGATCTCCCTCCGTTGATAACGACGAGTGTTATCTGATCTCGTAAAATTCCTTGAGAAATTTACGCATAACAGCAATTTATCGTCCATAAATCTGTACGTGTTATTGACGTAGGTTTTCCGGTGTTTCTTCAAATAGATGGATCCGTTGAGAAGTTGCTTGAAATCTGTTTTGTTAAACGCCACAATAGTACAGTTTGGATTCCAGAAGTCTGAGCCATTTTGCTTATCCTGCCGAGGGTCGCTATAATCTTCAAGGGAGACAACTTTTTTGCAGCTTGCAGCGTAGGGATCGTACAGTTCATCATCAGAACAAACTATGGTACGTTCAACCTGTTGAGACACGCCTTCTTTTCTCTCGTCTACCCGAATATTGAATCTCGACGTGGAAGTAAAATCAAACAAGATAGTCAATGGCGGAGGTACCGGACCACTTCCAGATACACAGTCATTTCCGAGATCAACAGGTTTGAAGCCATTACATAATGCGCATTGTGGGTTTCGAAAACGTATTTTTGCGACATTACCATGACACACTGGGAAGGCGTACCGCAGGCATTCCATTTGGCAGTAAGATTCGTTTACTTTTTGACTCATCACTTTACAATCTTGAAAACGAGGAATGCATCGTTTCAATGAGTTAAGCTGGAAATCTTGCGGCGATATCTCTAGCGAACAGGTGTTCAGCAAAATGTCCATATTGGTGGAAAAATTAGATGCGGTAAAGTTGAACCATGAATAGCAGACAAAATGAAGTCTCCAGTACGTCGTGTTTACAGCTCCATTGCATCTTGCACAAAATATATTTTTAAACGTTTTCAGACTGTCTCCGTCAAAAACCGGCAAACTTATGAGAAGGTCACTTCGGTCTTCGTCCTCACACTTTTTTCGCGTTTCGTTTTCTTTCCATTTTTTAGGACACGTTCTCCAGACAGCGTAACCGTTGTAAATTGGTCTAATGGGGTTATTTCTTAAAGCGAAGCAGGTTTCAGTGGTACTTAGAGTGCTTCTCTCAGGATTGACTCGCTCACGACAACTATTAGGGAAACCATAACATAAATTAGAGAACTAAGACTTCTGAGAGCATTCTGAAAAGTCATCACAAATTGCTTGCATGGCACCTCTCGATTGATTGTCATGATATCGAAACAAAAAAAAAACAAGCAAGAAACTGTCTGTGGCAAGGAAAACATAAGCGAGCAAGTCGTGGATAGGTTTGATTTTAAATCTTACTGACTTTTGCAGGTAGTGCAAGTATTCAAGTTAGGTCTATCGAAAAGTTCTTTATTCATGCAATTCGTGTTGCAGGGAGTCGTCTATGGCTAAATCCAGTCGATATTTTTATGTCAATACGGTGGATTAATTAAATCGTTAGATAAATCAGATGTGCGCGGAGTATACAACTGTAATGTATACTAAGTTTTACTTGCCCGGTACGTTAAACGTTAGTGTAGGGATTACGGTTTTACAACGTACACGCTTATTTAAACGCTCACTTGCGCTCATTGAAAATGATTCCGTTAGTAGGACGAATATACTTAACATTTACTTACTACCGTGAACAGTGCACACCTTGAAGCAACCATTGTCACTCACCTTTTTTTTTTTGGTACCGCAACCTAGGAATATGCAACACACACAAAAGACAACGAGCAGTAAAGAGGAGGAAAGCTTACATTGCATCGAAGTCATAACAGCAGTCACCAAAGCCATCGCAAAGCTTGTCACAGTAGCATAGGGGTATAAATCTATTCCATACGGTAACATTGTCCAATCTCTCATCGATGCCACAGCGATTTTTGCAGGTGAATTTCTTATATTCATAGTTCCGGAAGAAGCGATGTATAAAATGCCGTATATTTTCATTCCATTGGGCATTAACGGAGGCTAAAGATATAATATAATAATCAATATTTTAAAACTATTATGTTAATATATTTTCACAATTTGACGGAATTAATAAAAACCGCAGGCCAAATGCATGGCTATAGATTACTGTCACGGTATCCCAGATTGTCCAAGAGTTCTTCCTGAATATCACACGTATTTGAGGAATGCACAAAAGACTATACTTTTTCATTACTGCAACTTGAATTTTTGCCTTACCATCGGTTGGGATTTCATCTGGACTGCACCTGCGGCGTAAAGAATTAATGATGAAGTAGTCAGGAGCAGGTCCAGTGGGAGAAGCAGCTGTTGTGGGGTTGGTAGAACCGGTAAGATCCCCGCTCTCAGGAGATGAGGTTGGAGATTTAGTCAACGGTAAGGACGATGACGGTGATTGTTGTAATGGTGTTTGTGGCTGTGACGTCGGCAGTTGTATTGGCGGCAACGAAGAAGGTGAAGGTGGATGGCCATTGCCTGGAGGACATGGATATGGAGGCCCACCGCCAGCTAAAGGCTCCCCATCTGGAGGAGGTAATGGTAGTAATGGAGGATTCCCACCAGATGAAGGTGAAGGAGGATGGCCATCGGCTGGAAGAGATGATGGAGACACAGGCCCACCGCCAGCCGATGACTGCCCATCTGGAGAAGATAATGGTGGCAACGGAACATTCCCGCCAGACGAAAGTAAAGGAGGTAAAGGTGGTAAAGGTATATGGCCATCAGCTGTAAGAGATGAAGGTCCACCGCCAGCTAGTGGCTGCCCATCTGGAGAGGGTAATGGTGGTAACGGATGATTCCCGCCGGATGAAGGTGAAGGAGGTAAAGGTGGTAAAGGTGGTAAAGGTGGATGGCCATAGGCTGGAGGAGATGGAGGTCCACCACAACCCATTGGCTGCCCACCTGGAGAAGGTACTGGTGGTAGCGGAAGATTCCCGCCAGACAAAGATGAAGGAGGTAAAGTTGGGTGGCCATCAGCTGGAAGAGATGGAGGTCCATCGCCAGCCAGTGGCTGCGCATCTGGAGAAGGTAATGGTGGTTGTAGAGGATCCCCACCAGATGAAGGCGAAGGACTCGCAGTTGGGTGGCCATCGGATGGAGGAGATGGAGGGTAAGGAGGATTCCTATCAGACGACGATGATGGAGAGGAAGGTAAATGGGCACCGGCTGGAAATGATGGTTGAGATGGAGACCCACCGCTAGCTGAAGATGTTGGAGGAGAATATGACTCACCTTCTGGAGAAGATGATGAGTACGGAGGATTTCCGCCAGCCGAAGGTGAAGGAAGTGAAGGTCGGGGGCCATTGGCTGGAACAAATGGAGGTACAGGCCCACTGCCTGCCAGATATGAAAACTTATATATTAATTAAAAATTTACATTTATCGAATTTAAATTGGAAATATAAAATGATAGAAAGGAGTTCATGATTATTTAAGAAGCAAACTGTAAAAAATCAAAACTTTGACGACATTGAACTTAAGTTTTGAAAAACTCTGACCTCACCAGAGGCTTAGCTATGAGAAGGTATCTTCAAAGGATCTGCTTTGCAAAATGTTATTCATCTGTTACAACCACAAAGAAGGATTGTTAAAAAAATAAGTTTTTATCATGTAGACTGGATTACCTGAGACACTGCTTTGAGCGCTTTTCGCTTCATTGTGGAAAAGGACCGTTGCGTAGAATGCCACAAACAAAGCTCTGGTCGAACGATGCCAAAGAAATGTATGCATCCTTCTCAGATATCTGAAAGTTGATTAAGCATTGGTTTGAACAAGATATATTGCATATCTGATTGTGTAAAGAACCCTCGATATCCAGTTCCAACAAGAAAGATTCTTGCCCTCTTTATCTACATCATTAGCCTTCGAAAACATATTAGTCGGTGTCCTTACGCGATTTTGCAAACAAAGCTTATGAGCGATGCTCCGATGTTTACATCAGGAGACATCTTAGGAAAAGAAATAATAAAAAAAAAGAGAGAAAAAGAAAGAAGGAAACTATTAAATGTTGTTCACTTTCTCGTCTCCAATATCCTGCAGATTTTTTCAGGTTTTCATTATTATTAAGTTTAATGTTGATGAATTTCGCGTACACTAAATTTATGGTGTCGGTAACTTGACATAACCGTGTCACCACTGTCATAAACACATGTGCGCAAACATTGTCATTGCTTGATCAAAGATTGTTATTAAGACTAAATGTCAAAACGAAAAAGAAAAAAATTTATAGCAAAAAATTACAGTAAGTTACCAAAAGGAACAAAACCGAACCAAACAGTTAAGACTTCGATTGCAAACATCTTCTGAACCTCTTTCCGCAAACCATAATTGATGGGTCTGCATAGAAAACTCTTTATTGCATCTTATTATTGTATTACGCGTTAGTAAACAGGTGGCGATATTAAATTTACATGGAATTTATTTGTTTTTTCACCAATCCTCCCAAAAAAAGTTCACTTTCAAGAGACATCTGATTTCATGGCAGTTCTAACAGCGATATCATTCATAAAAAATGACCTCGATTAAACTCCGATTGATATTACAGATGCTTCACTCCAAGGTTACAATCTGGTTGTAGCTGACAAACTTTGACAATAATTTATTCATGAGTCAAATCTCTACATCAGGATATTCGAAACTTCAGCCCAGGAAATAATCAGCTCTTCAGGAAATAATCGCGGTATTAAACGCATCGGAAGTAAAACGATATTTTAGTTTGGGAAAAAAAAGAAAAGAAAATTTGTAAACACTGTTTTAAAACGTTAAAGAATCAAGCAAAGATGTCGGTTTAATTTCTCAAGACCGCGGATTTTGTAACAGTAACCAGCTGGAAAAATCGTATTGACAATTTCAGACTTTTAACTGGTTCAACAATTTGAAGAAAATTAACTAATCCTTCTCCCTTAATTTCCTATCGAAGACTCTCATTAAGTTTCCAACATAGCCTTTAATTTTAATCAAGTAAAATTACCAATTTAAGTTCTCTGGCGAGGAAATTTAAACACTTTCCGTTTAAAAATACGCCTTCCTCTTTTCATTTTACTAATTAATTAATCCTGGAAAAAATGAAAATGTATCATGTGCACGGTTCCTAACCTTGACTTGTATCCGTTTTGAGTTTAGCACCACTTGCAGTTTCGTAATCGTCAGAAATATTTACTCCTGGTCCGCTAGTTTGGCAGTAAATTGTGAATTCTACACGAGGCACAAACTCATCAAGGAAGAATCAACACAATCAATGTTCGATCTCGATTTCACAGATAGACTGAGCTTATCTAGATAAAAAGGCACATCCCCGCACGATGAAAAAAAACGAGATCTCATGAAATCGTCATCTGTAAGGGGTACGGCTACTAATTGCTGCTATATTGCCTTCAGGGTTACAAATAAATTAAAATCAAGTTTATTATCTCAATCAATAGGTCATAATTTGTCAGTTGTGTTTTTTCAGCCGCTCCAAGGTGAAATTTCTCTTCAAATGTGCTGTTAAAAGCCAAATGTCTAAGAAATTTCTTACAACACAATGGTAGGTCATTTCCTAACGAGCTCGAAACGCTTAATTGAAATGCGCAAATAAGAGTAGATTTCAAAGTCCGTTTAATTCTGCTATGTGACCTGTGGGTCATAAATAGGCCAAAATTGGACCATAATTACAATCTTCAAAACATGAAAAAATATAATTAATATTGTGATAAAAAAAACTGCATTTTAAAATGAAAGCAATTATTCGCGTAAAAGGCCTTTTCTACTAAAACGTGCGAGAAATTGTGTTTTTCTACCGTCGAAACAGAATTTTTCGCACGTTTTAGTAATGTATTCAGGTCTAAAGAGTCGCTTGTCACCTTAATCAGTTTCACCTGACACCCTCAGGTTCGTCCCAAAAACGAAATTGACAAAATTCAAAAAAATTTTTTTTCCTACGGGAACGAGAGCATAGCGCATAAATTCCCTATAAATCGAACTTTACTTACTCGACTATTCCGAGGAATTTGACTGAAAATTACAACCAAAAGGCTCTGCCAACGCAACCGACGTTTGGGTTTAGTATTTCAGCAACAAAATATATGGCTTTCACTGCAAAAGAAAGTTATTAACCGTAATTAGCACTTTTCAAATTTGTGTTAGAGATGGAGAGCCTTCAAATTGAGTTCATAGAAAAAAATTCAATTGATGTTCCTCTTCAGGTACAATCATAATTATTTCTGTCTTTCATAAATGTCTCCTTTTAAATTAAATGATTTAAAGGCGGTCAGATGAATACAAGCTTTAATGACGAAGTTGATTGCATCTGTTCACAGGACGGCGGGCGCAGTTCCTGAGCTCTTACACGCGCACTCTGGGGGTCGATGTTTGTGCAGCGGCACAATCCGTCGAGATTACGCATACCATCTAAGCGTAATGAGTGGCGCTTGTATGAGAGACCTTTAAAAACTCGTTCCGAGGGATCTCCCGATCAGTTTTAGGGTCAATGAACCTGCCATCCTGAAGAAAAGGACGAGAAAAGAGAGACTGACCGAAAGTTGAACTCTCCATCTCACATAAAACCAGTTTTGATCTTTTTTGGACCAACAAGATTCATTAGCGGTAAAAAAATACCCAGTTTGCAAACCTCAGTCGATGTCCCGCGAAGAGATTCACAACTGCGCACGTTCGTTCCCTCCTGTCTTGCTCACCGATGAAGAATACTTCAATATTGGCAAGGGAGGCGCATGCATGCACAATCCGTACTTAGAAATTGCACTGTTTCAACAAAAAAAAAGTCTCTTTTGGCTAGATATTTTCAGCTCCACAGCTCAACTCCATATGTATTATTTGCAAAAATTGATAGACGAGTACACTAACTCATTTTTCTTGAGTGGAGGGGGAGAAAGGGGTCTTACGTGGAGAAAAATATTTATTCAGTGTTTTGAAAACTAACAAACTGGTTGCTGGCGCCTTAACCAGTCATCAATCGATGTGGCGATTTGTCTTTTTTGAGTCTTTCACTAAATGGTTGACAAAGGTTCTGTTCTCCAGGAGATAACTATTTAGCCAATAATATCTGGTTCATTTCTATAAAAACGTTTTACGACAATGTTTTACGACCTAAAATGTTGATGCGTATGCGCGTCGCTAATTCAACCTTTCTTTGAAGCTGCATTATTGGAAGAGCGTCTAAATTATATCAGGACATCTGCTTAGTTTGATGGCGAAAATGTTCTTATGTATTTCGAATGCGACTAATAAATATTCGTGAAAAAAAGGACCAGAGGAGCGAGTCCAGATAAATGAAAATCTGGATAATCGAGGTTCGACAGTAATAGCTTATTTTACCGAGCAAACCGTTGAGAAAAATCATTCTCTGACCAGGATCAATATTAAATTTAATACAGCTTTGTAGCTGAGCAGCTAGCGCAGACAATCTTTCAATTACAACACACACCATACATTATCCAGTTTTTCAAACACACACGTTTAAGATCCCTTGAGGCTTCTGAACAAACAACAGCTAAAAAATCATGATTCTACTACACTGAAATCAGTTCATGCCTTCTAGAGATACAGATTTGCCTGGCGCTAACACTAAATTCAAATGGCTTTTTCCTCAAGTTCCTTCATCATAGCAGCTAGTGATAACAAGGCTGCCGGTCTTCCATCAGTGTTCCATCACTCCTTGCTAGCAATGTATTTGATCAAGTCCACAACTCTGTGACTGTAGCCGTATTCGTTGTCATACCTGATACACAAGAGAATTAGAAATTTTAGCGAAATCTGTCGCGCGAACCGAAAAAGAAAGAAAATTGAAAAATTGAGACTGAAAATTGTTGTTAGCGTGCCGGGCGGAATTTTAGGAGAGAGGTGCACCACAATTAGCCTCACTCCCAGAGTTCAGCGCGGCACACTAACGGCAGTTTTCACTGGGTTTTTTTTTGTTTGTTTGTTTGTTTTATGTTAAACTCGCGCGACGGACTTCGCCGAAAAGAATGGACTGCTCGTAATCTCCATCTTACTAGCTCATAAAACATAATTATTTGGGTATAATTCAGTTTTACTTGGTCATTAATGCATAGGGTTGTTCGCAGAGTGCCTAGTTTCAGAAATCTTTTTTCTTTGAAAATTTCTTTTCTCCCTGTATTTAAACATCCCTCGATTGGCTGTTAGGCTATTAGCGCTGAAAAAGTAACTATGACTTTCACAGGGAGAGAGCCCAAAAAACAAAAAAAAAACATTAAAAAATTGAACAAATAAATAAATAAATAAATAAATAAATAAATAAATAATAATAATAATAATAATAATAATAATAATAGAGAACTTCTGCTACAAAATAACTGACACCTTAGTAGTTAATGCTGTAGAATGCTGGTCAATGTATAAGAGGGTCAGATAGTAGGAATACAGAGACTTCCACGACATTCGTAAGTGTCCCTCAAGCTCCAAGGTTATCGTCATTCCCTCCAGAATTCGCGCCCAAACATTAGTGAACTCTTCAAGGATAAGTGAACCACAACAAGCAAACCTAATCCTAGTGCTTGTAGCCTGAAAATCATTCATGCACTAACATCCCATTTATGGGGAAGTAGTGGTACTCCTAGTCACTTCATGGGTCATGGAGACCGGGTTAATAGGCTCCAGTACAGACTACACAAGGCTCAATTAATCAACTATGATCGTCTAGAATATGGAAATTCAGTGCTGGATGAGGAAAGTCACAAGATGGCCTAGCACCCATTAGTGTAACTAACCATGAG